CTAAAGTGTTGACTTATTAAAGGAGCATAGCCACAGTGTTTTGATTTGTTTTAGCCGCGTTCAAAATTACCTTTACATTGCAGAAATAGTCGTTTACTAAGATAGTAAAACACCAAAGAGATAATTATATAATAAAACATAAAGCAACAAGTACGGTGAAGATTAACACGGATTACAAACAACGAACTTCGAACATTCAGGCTAAACTTTTCAAGATGCGCAAGCCGTGGCGTAGCTCGTTTAAAGGCTCTAGATCTTCATTTTAGTGACGGAGAATGCCCCGAGCATGAGACTACGTACCAAAAGATTGTTTGTTCTGTTCGGCAACCAAAGTAGCGCGTCAGTCTTATATTGCTTTTCCTACCGAATTTGCACTCATCGTTTTCACTCCTTACTTGTAACATTCTTTGCAAGGAATGGATTAAGTGATTGATAGACTGGCGCGTTCTCTTACAGCACTATAAATACCTGAATCTTACTATATAGTAATTTGCTGTGCGATAAGAATTTTTCTCCAACGCGGAGAGCTCCTCATCGAGCGGAGGACTGGCGAGTAAAGAGAAATAGACCGCGTAGAGACTGGGTAGAGGGGCAAATAGGCGCTTTTTTTTTTCTTTTCTCCCCGTTTGATTTTTCTCTCGTTTTACTGAAAGGATAAAACCTTAGGTGGCACGCACTATTCACTGTAATGAGACCTTCTGAAAGGTATAGTTGTGGTACTATGTTTCTCAATTTTGGGCATCCAAGATCTAAGGAATCAGGCCAAAAAAAATGACGGATGAAACAGTGCATGAGGAATATAAAAAAACATCAGAAAGAAATTAAGTTTTTGCTGCTCGAGTGGTAACAGATGTGTTGGTGTGATTGTAATTATGAGCCATATTGCATCACATTTGATTAAAATTGTACTTTGTGAGTTTCTCTGTCGCTTTTTTTCTTCCTAAGTTGTACAAGAGAAAATTGACCTTTTTGGCGATACGGCAGCCATTTTGAATTCTATTGTTCCAAATAGCTATTATGAGATGCTCAGGGGGCAACTAATATTGATTTGTCCCGTGAGCATCCCATAATAGGTATCTGAAAACAATGGAATTCAAAATGGCCGCCGTATCACCGAAAAGGTCCATTGGCCATTTCCGTGTGAACTTCGGCCTCTGTTTCAAAACGAGTCCTCATGCCAAACCTGTCATTTAAAAATGTGTTTGATTTGCATGAAAATGAACCTGCAGGTGGAAACATTTTCATATGAATGGTTTCGCACGTCAAGACTCGTTTTGACACAGTGGCAAAGGGCAACTCGCAAACGGTCTATTAAATAGCATTTATTGTAGTCGGGAGCCACGAAATTCGTATAAGACTTAGAAAACATGCCGCCATTTGTAATAAAATGGGACAGTTTAAAATGCACACCTTCTGGACCAAATCGAATGCCATTTTATTGCTGCATGTCTACACAATACATTAGCTCAATACATTGCTTTTAATGCCAGGTGATTGTGTGATGTAATTTGATGGTGAAACCAAAAAGAGAAAACACTTCAATGCTCCTATCAGCGTCCAGACGATACCTCTGATTGGTTGGAGTGACAATGATTGAGAGTATCATATGCACACCGCACTGGAATATTATCTCCATTAGCACCTTTGTGAAAATTGTCAGTTTTCCTTCTCGTGAATATAAAGGGTAAAAAATATCTTCTTTCGTTTCGGAAAACAAAAATACTAAACACATGCGCTGGCTTATCAGCCTGGCCGTAAAATATGATCGTTACCTTGCAAGGTAAGTTTTCCGGTTATTAAACTGATCCTAAACGTATAAATCTTCAACCTAAAAAAATCATTACACAGCTGAGAAATCTCAAGGTCTTCTCTTATTTTGCCATTTAGTAAAGAATATGTTTTAGGAAAAATAGGCTGTCCATGATCAACGATTAATAATTGATTCTATGGTATGATTCGCTGTTTTCTGAGATGAGAACATTGTAGTTATTTCTAAAATTTGTCTAGTGTCTACCGCCTCCATAATTACATGAGTTAGGGAGACCTTTATTATTTTAATAACCATTTAGACCGCATCTTAGAATTGTTTGTTTTTTTTTCAATTCGCCATCAGATTTTCTTTTTCTCAGCAAGCTCTTTATTTTTCGCTTTAATCTTAGGTTGTTTTGTTCCATGGATCTCTATTTGCTTTATTTATCTAAGCTTATCTGCGGTGCGGAGGTTAAGCAACTGCAAACGGTCCTATGTAATCAATTTTGCGGCACAGAAGCGGAAAGAGGGGTCATTTTCTTGACCTAATATACGACTCGATTTTTCATCGTTTTATAAATAGTGATTGCTCATCAATCACTGATCATTATTCGAATATAATGCGGTATCTCCAAGACGGACGTGCATTTCCGAATTTCGCTTTCGAAAAACAAGAACAACATGATAAGAAAGTTATCTAGCAAAATTAGTCCAGTTTTTATTATTTTTAAGACACTTCGTCGTGATAGCCCACTGTGATTAATTTTGCCTCGTGTTGTTGTGTGAATTCTCTTTATCTAGGTCGCTACTCGTAGATAATACTGACAACAGGACCGACAAAAGGTGGGAAAATCTTTTGTGGTTTATCTTCCAAGTTTAGTTACTCAGTGGTCAAAATGCGTTCAAACACCGTTGCAAAATTTTCACTGGTACTACACGTTCATATAAACACCGGATATTGAAGACTTCCCAAACAATACTGAAAATAAGACTGTGCACTGTGGTAAAAATTAATATCGCAGTCTTCGAATATTTATAAACATGGCTTATTTCTCTGTTGTTTTTTATGAATAAATCGTCAATGTGCAAAAAATCTGACGTGTTCGGATACCTTGCTGAAATCGACAAAATTTAATTGTGTGTTTATGAAAATCAGCTGGACTTTTGTCTTGCTTGTTAAATTCGAAATGTGGGAACCAGGAGTGCGTGAGGTATGTTCAATTTACGTTTTATATCATTGTTAGAGTGATATGAAGAAAACGTTGAACAAAACATATCAAGATGACAAGATATACTCTCGGTGCCTGTGGCAAGGTGTTATGTCTAAATTACGCCGCCGAGAATGAGGAAAATTACGTCCTGTAGTTTATAGTTTACAATTAGATTCACACTCAAAGAGTGATAAACAAGGTCATAGAGGCTGAAGAAAGTTTAGAAATTCAGCAAGAACAAGTATGGGTGTGCCAGATTACGAAATAAGAAAGGTTCGGTTAAGCAGACCAAAGATTTTTGACAAGAAAATCTTCGCTCAATGTGCTGAGACGGAACATCAAATTAAAATGTAAAGAATCGACGAAATTGGACGAGGTTTGCTGTGGTATAATTAAAAATACTCTAATGTTTTTGTTAATTGTACATTATATTCCATAAGTAATGTAGTTTATATTTCCTGTTTTTTTAATGAATTCTCCAAAGAAGACCCTTCCTGGCGATGTATATGGTATATGTCTAGTATAGATATAGATTCAGTTCTGCAAAAACCCAATTCAAGATGTTCTCTGTATAAGTCGTTCGCCTCTCCTGTTCATGGTGGAATAAAAAAAAGTTCAATATAAAACATTTTAAATTAATTAAATAAAGTTGAGTGTTGTAAAACGGTTTGGGTTGTGTTCCGGTTATCGCAATCTATAATGTGATAAAAAAAAAAAAACCTTCGAACCATTTAATAACATTGGCTGTAAAACTCATCGATATGCGTCACATTGGCGAGATCATTTTCCAGATTCCAAATACAAGATATTGAACTTTTCTGTGCTGGTAAATTAACAGCATTTTAGTCTAATGACATATTAAAACTTACTACGAGATATAAAGTGATATACTTCCTAAGATATTGATTTATCTGCAAGCAAATTTCAAAAGCTTCTTGGAGCAGATGTTCTCGCTCAACTGCAAAATTTGTTCACTGCTTGAAGGGCTTTTGTTTTGAGATACCATTCGTGTTAGCCCCGGGAAGAAATCAGTAAACATTGCGATATTCGGCTAATTAGCCAATCAAGAAGGGGCAAAATACACAAATTTCCATGGCAATCTGGCAGGTTTTCAAACTATTACGGCTGCAAAAGACAAATATTAATAACTCAAGGTAAGATAAGATATTTTCTTT